TTTCATTAACTGTTAGGGTTTTACTGGTTGATTTTAATTTTTCTTCAATGTAGTGGCTTAGTTCATTATAGTTTATTCTTGTGTGAATAATATTTCCGTTCTTTGTAGATGGTGTAATTTATTTCTGCTATCAATATATTGTGATCTGTTATTGATGTTTCATTTGTTGTTATTGGGTAATCTATGTTGGTAGTAAGACAGTGTCGCTCCTAGGACTCCGGATGGCCTGTCCATCCAGTTCTGACTATCGTCCAGTTCTTCGGCGCCTTTAGAGGTCATTCTTCGGCTGAAGAAGGTCATTCTTCGGCTGTTGAAGGTCATTCTTCGGCTGAAGAGGAAGAAGAAGGTCATTCTTCGGCACCCCCTACAACCCCCTTCCATCGTAGACGTCGCTGTTGCTGCAGTTATGGGTGGTTGTAGGGGATGTTTATTAAGCATGTGCGTTTTGTGCATGTGTGTGTGTGTTATTTTTTTTTGTGTTTGTATGTGTATGTGTATTGTGTGTTGCCTATGTGTGTCTGTATTGTGTGTGCTGTGTATTGGATGGATGATGGTTAGTAGCCGTAGACGATTTTTTTCGCGCGACCGGGGTTCGAACCGTGTACGAGTGCGAGAGTACGACGACGACCGATCACGACGTTAACGCGCTGGGCTACCGACTCGGCCCGCTTGATCGTTCCCTAAAACCGGTTGATACAACAAGCGGCGTGTGTGTGTGTGTGTGTGTATGTGCGAGTGTACCATGTCGCCCGTAGCTGGCTGGGCAGGCCGCAGCCGCCGTCGGCTTTGAATCTCGTAACATGCATGTATTCGTATAGTATACGTATTTGAATCATACGTAACATACATGTGTGTATACGTATAGTTGAATGGTATGTTAGGTGGCACGTATGTACATTTTACACATACATACATACAGCTGTTAGCAAGGCAGCCGTCAGCTTTGAATCATACGTAACATGCATGTATACGTATGCTAGGTGGTATGTATTTGCATTTTACACATACATACATACATACATAGAGATATACAGCTGCCAGTTCCGCAACCATCGGCTTTGAATCTCGTAGTATACATGTATGTATACGTATGGTGGAATGGTATGCTAGATGGTACGTACGAACGTACGTACGTACAGTTCGAACCATCAGTGTTTGCTGTTGGTGGTTGGTATATTTTCCAGCACATACATACATACATGCATACACACATATATACGTACACTCGAGCATACACATGAGAAGCTTATTTACAATTGTCGTCATGTTGTTGTATTAGNCAAGACAACGCGAGACCTCACACAAGTTTGGTCACTCGCCAAAAGCTTTTACAGCTTGAATGGGATACAATGCTAGACCCACCATATTCTCCAGACCTGGCACCATCGGATTATTATTTGTTCCGGTCACTCCAAAACTTTTTAGACGGTAAAACCTTCACCTCAAATGAGGAGGTCAAAAACCTACTCGATCAGTTTCTTGCCAGCAAAGACCAAAACTTTTATGAGAATGGAATTATGCTACTACCAGAAAGATGGCAAAAGGTGTTGGACCAGAACGGTCAATATATAATTTAATAAAGTATTTGTACGAAAACTGTCTTTCATTTCCACAAAAAAAAAAAACGAAGTGACTTTCCGAACAACCCGATATTTCTGTTTTTGTTTTTTATGACCAAAGTGCAGATTAAACGAGTTGAACCATCATTACAGTTATTTTACCAATAAAAGAATTTTATTTCCAAAGTTCATGTTGGAGGGATAATTCAAGTTTAAACTGGCATAGCCTTGTCCACGCTCCATTTTGTTTCGACATTCTTGCGACATCTATTGAAAAAAAATTCAATAGACAAAAAGCAATAGCTGTAAATTACACACACTTTTACAGAAAACGACGTTTTCAGTATTCTAGCGACATCTCGTTTGATAAAATTCAATAAGGAATAGCTTTAAGCGGGAAATTCAAATAAATACAGGCTCCACCCCCATTTTAGGACAATTCCAGAGGGTCTTCAACAAGAGCTTCTGGTATTGTTGACAAAAGGGCATGGTCTAACCTCTTAAGATGAAGAATGACCTAGAAAGACCTTCTAAAGATCTAAAATTGGTAAGATGTTGATGGATGGACCAGGGCCCAGATTTGGGGAGCCGTGACCCATATATGGGAACCCGTTAGCCTCTCTACTGACGAGCAAAGTATCGTCCGCGAATGAAAAAATTTTGCATCCGGCCGGTAATGCGATATCAAAAATGGTATAAAACGTTTCACAGGAGCGGGCCGGAGCACGACCCCTGGGGACAACCCCTTTCAACTTTTCTAGTGACCGCTGCTCCGGAAATGGTAACAACAGCGGTTCTGTCGCTAAACTAATTCTGAACTAATTTGATTAAATTTCCGGAAATATTACGTTTGCGCAATTCGAAAATAATTCTTGGCCACCAAGCGTTGTCAAAAGCTCCAGAAATATCTAATGCAATTGCAGCGGCGTAGTTATCATTCCTACGAGAGTTTTTAATATTGTCGATGACTGCATTAACAGCGTCCGTGGTGGACCTGCCAGAAACAAAACCAAATTGATTTATATTAAGTCCTCCGTTTTTATTAATTTCAAAATGCAATCGACTAGTAAAAACTCTATCTAAAATTTTGCCGACGATCGGTAACAAGCTGATGGGTTGGAAGCTTTTTACGTCATCGAAATTACGCTTACCCGGTTTTGGTATAGTTTTTACAGATTGTTTTTTCCAGCAGGCTGGAAAAACATCTAAATAAAAACAGCTATTAAAAATGTTGATAAAAACATCCGGTGCAACTTTAAAAGCTGCCAGGGTTGCGTCGGAAGTGATTCCGTCGAGTCCCGGCCCATTACGTGGATTAATTCTGCCGACGGCGCGCTCTATTTTCGCGTAGGTGATATTCTTAAAAAACCCATCGAACTCGATTGCATTGTTCGCGGCCGTGCGAACTCGCGCATGATCTTGATTGTCTGAAATAGGGTCGTCCGACGGAAAGAAGGAATGTAGAATAAAATCGGCCGTATCTTTAGTGTCTTTAGTGAATGTACCGTCGGGTTTTGGAAACTTATTTTGTTAGTTATTTAGTTTTTTTGCCGCGAATGACTTTGTAGGCCGTTCCCAAGGATCCTTTTCTGAATTGAGCGTGCAAAATTCTTTAAATTTATCGCCCCTTGTTTTAATTAATAATTCATTATACTCCCGAAATGCACGGTTATATTCCGCTCTTTGATTGATTCTAATAGCGTAGTTCTATTCGCGTTGAAAAGAGCGACGAAGTTTACGCGATTCTGATCTTTTTTCAGTCAGCTGTTTTGTCCACCACGGAACACTATTTCTAAAAGATTCTGTAGGCGGCATTGACGCCTCGCAAGCTTCCACAATACACAATACAGTCATTTAAAAAACTAGCGCGATCTGAAACATTATTTTCGTCTAACAGTACTATGTTTCCAATGCTATCCCTAAATTTTCCAGAAAAAACGTCCCAATCTGCTTTTTTATTGCAAAGCCTACGGTCGACAAAATCTATCTCGCTATTGTTAAAAGAAATTTGCCAAAAAGTTTACTTGTGATCGGAGAGTGTTTCTTCGTCAACAAGTTGGCAATTTTGAATTAGTTTAAGTGCCTCAAAATTTACTACAGTTAAATCAACAAAACTAATACCGGGATGTCCGACAAAAGTTGGTTCAGTATTATTATTTAATACAATTAAATTATTTTGTTCAAAAAATTCAAAAAGTTTATCACCCCTATTATCGTTAATCGGACTGCCCCATACGTAATGTTTAGCATTAAAATCACCCGCGAAGATAATTGGTTTTAAATTACCTATTTGATGAGCAATTTCTCGAAGTCGTTCGAAAATGAGGTTTTCGTCGACATTAGTGCCAGCGGGTGGTAAATAGACATTTACGAGAATAAGCGATTTGGAAAAATAGGTAATTTCACTAATGACAATATAATCTGTTGAAATGTTCTCTAGAAATAGATTATTAATGTTCAAATTATTAACAATAATGGCACTTTTAGGAATATTACATTGTTTCGAAATGATAAAATTATTTTTAGAAAAACCTGTAATTTTAGATTTGTTGACCGTCGGTTCCTGCACAAAACAAATATCTAACTTTTTATCTGAAATAATTTTTAAAAGATTGCTTGTAGCCGCCTTGCCCTTGCCTAAATTAATTTGTCCGAAATATAATACCAAATCCGCGTCGGGGTTGATCTTTGTGGATTTAGAATCCATAAAAATCAATGTTGGAAAGGATTGAATTTTTAATCCTTATCATCGTTGGGCAAGACGACGATTTCGCGTCATGGTCTACGCTAACAGGAGAGTGCTTTTTGTCCCTATTGGACCTAACGCAAACACACACAAGATGTTGTTTTTGACTTACAGTCTTTAAAATGGTGTTTGCCACCGCACTTGCTGCAAATTTGCTCTTTCACCTTACAATTCTTGGAATGGTGCCCGAAACACTGATGTAAAGAGAAATGATCTCTAACAAAGACGCGTTGCCAATTTAGATAAATCGGCCTATCTAAAATTTTTAACCTAAGCGACGGATTAACCTCAAATACTGTGCTATACATTTCCCTATTTCCACGGGTCTCGAAAACTGTAAGCTGCTTAAAATTAGCCCTAAACTTATCTATATCGTTGCCGCAAAAGTCGTCAATGGAATCGTTGTGCCCTAACATAGTCTCGTGCAAATCTTTTGAGTTAAGTTCTTTACTTATCCTATCAATTCTGACACGTGGCCAGCGTTTTTTAACGTCCCTAACCGCTACATCGTTTTTGGCCTTCAAAATCAAGGTCAATTTAATTTTTTCGGCGTCTTCTTTATTTGCGCAATCTACAACTACGTCTCCCGATTTGGTTGCCCTAACATTTTTTACCAATATATTGCTTTTGATGGGGTCGACTGTACGCATTATTACTTTTTTAACAAAATTAGCATCCATACTAGATTCTTTGGCCTGGAAGCGTACCGTATGGAAAGATTCGTTAATTTTTTCGGTTTTGGGGTAAAACTAACATTATTTGCGCTGCTTTCACTCTTTCCGCGTAAGAAAAAATCGGGATACTTACGTTTTTCGCCTTTTGTACTTCCTCGATTTTTTGGTCCTTCAATTTCAGGTTATGTCGCAGTTCTTTAACTATCCCGGTTATCTGGACGAGCCGTTCCATTAGCTCGTCCGCTGTTTCCCTAATCATCTTCCTGTCGGCTACCTTGATCGTCTCAGCTTTCAGTGGAATTAAACGACGTACCATTTTATAAAGCTGTCGGGCGTCGCAGCTGAAGACATCTTCGGGATAAGGACCGGTCACTTGCGTGGTTTCACCATCATCACGCTGTTTAACTTTTTTGGAACCTGAAACAGAATTCGTTTCAGATTCGTCGTCGCCAATAGTACGCGCACTTTTCCGTTTTGTGGACTCGTGTGTAAAGTCCATTGCCGTCACGTTGACGACACACTCACTCGCGCTGCCTGACATAGAATGCCGGCGATTGGTTGCCTCGGTGGGCGTGGCACTGCGCAACTCGCTCATGGTACGACCGAACCGTACGAGCGCTCGGTGCGAACTCGACACTTAAGACAGTATGATTTATTAAATAAAATATTTACATGGTGCCGCTGCTCCACCTTTCGGTACTACAGCGGCGGTCTTTCGAAATAAAATATTTACAAAAGATAATATGCGCTATTTTAATTATAAGAATAAAACTAAAAATAACTAAAAGTAAACTAATTAACTCGATATAACTACAATCTCTACTTTTTCCCCTCCGTCTGCTCTTTTCGCTGGAGAAAAAACACCTGAACCTTCGAAAGTAATTTTATTACTTATTACATAAGAGACAATGTATTAATAAGCAGAGAGGGAGGAGGGCCTGCATAAATTATACTTACATTGACTTAGGATGCCCCGTTTGGAACACGCAAAACTACGTTCCACATAATTGAAACTTATTTATTGAAAAATGAAATGCAAATAATTTGTTGTACAAATATCTTGCGTGTTCGTATCGGAGCATCCGATGAAATTAAAATGCCGCACAAAAGTATTTAAAAGAAAAGAATATGTACCTAAAATGAGAATAGAGTTCGCTACTGTACAGCCTGGGAATATATACATGTGGTCCAACATTTGCTGCAAGGGTTGGGGAAAACCAAGAAAAACCCAACCAGACCACTATGAACTCTTGTTCTCTTCGTTGCTTCGGCTCCAACACAACAGCACTGTTTCGCCCAATTAAATGAACTGACAATAATTAAAAAGAACAAGGGCGTTTGTTATACCGTGTTATTGCTTTCGTTTTAGTGCCGAAAAATACCGGTTGTAATTGTAACGAACACGAACGAACGAACCCGAACGCGCACATCGCGAGGGCATTTTAATTGACTTTCAGTTTATCAACGCGATTTGAAAAAGAGCGAAAAGCGTCCCACCAGTCCCTCTCGTCCCGCAGTTCGGTGACCTCCCGATAGTTGGTCGGCCATCTTAAACCGCGGGCTGCGAGGGCCCGGTCGGCAACTCCTCGTTGTTGAGCAAAAAGAACGCAGTTAAAAAGGACGTGCTCCGCTGTATCGGTGCCACCACACTCACACAAATCGTTGTCGATTTTCCCGATACGTTTTAAGTATGAATTAAAGTTCCCGTGTCCTGTCATAAGCTGTACCATATAGAAGTCAAAATCTCCCGTGATTTTCCTGTCGTAACAGGGATCCGGTAGGAAGCTCGCCGTAGTCCTTCCGGTTGTAGCAGTCCTCCATCGTTCTTTCCAAGCCTCCAGGGAAAGATTGCGTAAACGTCGCTTGACGAGTGCCCTGGGCGCCAAATTATAAGTTGGTGCAGTCGCCTGGTTTGTGGCGGCGGCCTTCGCAAGTTGATCCGCTGCGTCGTTTTTCTCGTTTCCAGAATGCGACGGTGTCCAGTGGAAACGTAAGGAAATTTCTCTGGCCAGATTGACCGCGAGTTCCCACGTCTCCAGTTGTAGCGTGGTTGGCTGTCTCATATTGCGAAGGGCCGTCAGCACTGACTGGCTGTCCGTAACGATGGAGCACTCCTTGATTATATCCGAATGCCCTCGGAGATATGTAAGTGCTTGTCGTAGTGCTATCATTTCACACTGAAAGATAGTACTATGTTCCGCGAGGGTAAAATTATCCCGATGGATCTCGGCGTCTCCGTTGAACAAAATAAAGGATCCTCCAGCCCGTCCGTCGTCCAATCTAGAACCATCTGTATAGATCACTGTGTTGTAGGCGTCCTGGACTCCCTCGGTAAACCGGAAGTTGTCCATGTCCGCAGGATGTACTGTGTCGGCTAGGCTGACGCGACGTTCGAGCTGTCGGTCCTGGAGTTGAAGTCCGTCAAGGTCGTTGTTGCTAGGGTGGCCGGTGAAAAGGCGGTACCTTTTCGCCGTTTCCTGCAACAGAATATCAAACGGCAGAATTTTGCTCAACACAAATGCCGCTTCCGATGGAACAGTACGATACGCCGTCGCTGCTTTTACTGTCAATATTCTCTGAGCGCTTAAAAGAGACCTGCATTCTTTAACTTTACAACCTTCAGCCCAAATCGGTGCCCCGTAGAGCATCGCCGATTGTACCGCGCCCTCGTAAATTTTTGCCAAAGCCGCGCCCCTGAAACCCCACGTGAGTCTAGCGGCCGCCGCGATTTTGTGCGAAATTTCTTTGCTCTTATTGACCACATATTGAATGTGTGACTTCCATAAAGACTTTTCGTCAATCATTATTCCTAAATATTTTATGCTTTCCGAACAGTGAACAAATCGCCCGTTTAAGGTAAATGCAGGTCTCTGTTGATTGATCTTTTTGCCAAAAAATAGAGCTTCCGTTTTTTCCGCGTTGAACTGTAATTTTAAATCTACCGCCCAATCAGACAACATAGCGAGTGCTTGGTTGGCCTTACTTTTAAGAGATTTATATTGTTGCGCCTCGACGACGAGCAAAGTATCGTCCGCGAATGAAAAAATTTTGCATCCGGCCGGTAATGCGATATTAAAAATTGTATCATATAAAACATTCCACAGGAGCGGGCCGGAGCACGACCCCTGCGGACAACCCCTTTCAACTTTTTTAGTTACCGCTGTTCCGGAAATGGTAACAACAGCGGTTCTGTCGCTAAAATAATTTTGAACTAATTTGATTAAATTTCCGGAAATGTTACGTTTGCGCAATTCGAAAATAATTCTTGGCCACCAAGCGTTGTCAAAAGCTCCGGAAATATCTAATGCAATAGCAGCGACGTAGTTATCATTCCTACGTGAGTTTTTAATATTGTCGATGACTGCATTAACAGCGTCCGTGGTGGACCTGCCAGAAACAAAACCAAATTGATTGATATTAAGTCCTCCGTTTTTATTAATTTCAAACTGCAATCGAGTAGTAAAAATTCTATCTAAAATTTTGCCAACGATCGGCAACAAGCTGATGGGACGGAAGCTTTTTACGTCGTCGAAATTTCGCTTACCCGGTTTTGGTATAATTTTTACCGATTGTTTTTTCCAGCAGGCTGGAAAAACGCCTAAATAAAAACAACTATTAAAAATGTTAATAAAAACATCCGGCGCAACTTTAAAAGCTGCCAGGGCTGCGTCGGAAGTGATTCCGTCGAGTCCCGGCGCTTTACGCGGATTCATCCTGCCGACGGCGCGCTCTATTTCCGCGTAGGTGATATTCTTAAAAAACCCATCAAACTCGATTGCATTGTTCGCGGCCGTGCGAACTCGCGCGTGATTTTGATTATCTGAAATAGGGTCGTCCGACGGAAAGAAAGAATGTAGAATAAAATCGGCCGTATCTTTAGTGTCTTTAGTGAAAGTACCGTCGGGAAGTTTTAGATTTTGGAAACTTACTTTGTTAGTTTTTTTACCGCGAATGACTTTGTAGGCCGTTCCCCAAGGATCCTTTTCTGAATTGCGCGTGCAAAATTCTTTAAATTTATCGCCCCTTGTTTTAGTTAATAGTTCTTTATATTCCCGAAATGCACGATTATATACGGCTCTTTTATTGTTTCTAATGGCGTCGTTTTTTTCGCGTTGAAATGATCGACGAAGTCTACGCGTTTCTGATCTTTTTTCAGTCAGCTGTTTTGTCCACCACGGTACACTATTTCTAAAAGATTTTGTAGGCGGCATTGACGCCTCGCAAGCTTCTACAATGCAGTCATTTAAAAAACTAGCGCGATCTGAAACATTATTTTCGTCTAATAGTACTATGTTTCCTATGCTATCCCTAAATTTTTCAGAAAAAACGTCCCAATCTGCTTTTTTATTACAAAACCTACGGTCGACAAAATCTATCTCGCTATTGTTAAAATGTATTTGCCAAAAAATTAACTTGTGATCGGAGAGTGTTTCTTCGTCAACAAGTTGCCAATTTTTAATTAGTTTAAGTGCCTCAAAATTTACTACTGTTAAATCAACAAAACTAATACCGCGATGTCCGACAAAAGTTGGTTCAGTATTATTATTTAAAACAATTAAATTATTTTGTTCAAAAAATTCAAAAAGTTTATCACCCCTATTATCGTTAATCGGACTGCCCCATACGTAATGTTTAGCATTAAAATCACCCGCGAAGATAATTGGTTTTAAATTACCTATTTGATGAGCAATTTCTCGAAGTCGTTCGAAAATGAGGTTTTCGTCGACATTAGTGCCAGCGGGTGGTAAATAGACATTTACGAGAATAAGCGATTTGGAAAAATAGGTAATTTCACTAATGACAATATAATCTGTTGAAATGTTCTCTAGAAATAGATTATTAATGTTCAAATTATTAACAATAATGGCACTTTTAGGAATATTACATTGTTTCGAAATGATAAAATTATTTTTAGAAAAACCTGTAATTTTAGATTTGTTGACCGTCGGTTCCTGCACAAAACAAATATCTAACTTTTTATCTGAAATAATTTTTAAAAGATTGCTTGTAGCCGCCTTGCCCTTGCCTAAATTAATTTGTCCGAAATTTAATACCAAATCCGCGTCGGGGTTGATTTTTGTGGATTTAGGATCCATAAAAATCAATGTTAGAAAGGATTGAATTTTTAATCCTTATCATCGTGGGGCAAGACGACGATTTCGCGTCATGGTCTACACTAACAGGAGAGTGCTTTTTGTCCCTATTGGACCTAACGCAAACAACACAAGATGTTGTTTTCGACTTACAGTCTTTAAAATGGTGTTTGCCACCGCACTTGCCGCAAATTTGCTCTTTCACCTTACAATTCTTGGAAAGGTGCCCGAAATCATAACACTGAAAACACTGAAGTAACGAAAAATGATCCCTAACAAAGACGCGTTGCCAATTCAGATAAATCGGCCTATCTAACATTTTTAATCTAAGCGACGGATTAACTTCAAATACTGCGCTATACATTTCCCTATTTCCGCGGGTCTCGAAAACTGCAAGCTGCTTAAAATTAGCCCTAAACTTGTCTATATCGTTGCCGCAAAAGTCGTCAATGAAATCATTATGCCCTAACATAGTCTCGTGCAAATCTTTTGAGTTAAGCTCTTTACTAATCCTGTCGATTCTGACACGTGGCCAGCGTTTTTTAACGTCCCTAACCGCTACATCGTTTTTAGCCTTCATGTTTAACGTTAATTTAATTTTTTCCGCGTCTTCTTTGTTTGCGCAATCTACAACGACGTCTCCCGATTTAGTTGCCCTAACGTTTTTCAGTAAAATGTTACTTTTTATTGGGTCTACTGCACGCACAATCACTTTCTTTACAAAGTTTGCGTCTTTACCAGAAGTAGTAATACATTGTCGCTTCTGGGACTCCGGATGGCCTGTCCATCCAGTTCTGACCATCGTCCAGTTCTTCGGCGCCTTTAGAGGGTCTTTCTTCAGCTGAAGAAGGTCATTCTTCGGCTGTTGAAGGTTATTCTTCGGCTGAAGAGGAATAAGAAGGTCATTCTTCGGCTAGGCCGAAGAATGCACACACATACACATACACACATGCTCAGGAAATACCCCCTACAACCCCCTTCCATCGTAGACGTCGCTTTTGCTGCAGTTATGGGTGGTTGTAGGGGATGTTTATTAAGCATGTGCGTTTTGTGCGTGTGTGTGTTATTTTTTTTGTGTTTGTATGTGTATGTGGATTG